GAAGCTTTTTCTACGTAGTTTACGGTAAAATGGTAAAATTTAATTAATTGTTTTTTATCAATATAGCAATAAATGAATTTTTAATGACATGATATGTATCTTTTTACAGTATGTGTGCAAAGTTTTATGAATAGACCAATTAAACTTTTATCTTACGATATTGGCTACACGAATGCAGCCATATATGAAATCAACTTTAAGGTTAGTATTAGTTTATTACTACATTTGTAGATTTGAGGTAACTTGTTTTTGAATACGTATTACGTAAATTAATTTATTATGGCAAAGTAAAAAAGTTATGTGATGTTACTCGTAATATTTCATATATACATAAAAAATCTTGTACGGTCACACATTACCTTCTGGAAAGAAGAAATGTTTTTTCAATGAAAAAAAAAATGATTACGCCAAAAAAGTTTTTTTTTTTTTTTTTTTTTGTTTAAAGTAATTTAACTTAAGATTTAATGATCGTGTTTTATGCGGATTTGTTAGCCTTACCATTTTCGGATTCTATATGCCGATACATATATACTATATATGTATATATATATTTTTTTTAAGTTAAAACGAAAATAGAATAAACTTTGGGATCAATCATTTACTTGTTTTAGTACTATCTTATTTTAACTCCCCCCATCAAAATCTTGCATCTTAATTATGGTTGGTGACATACATATATCGCGAAACTAATTTGTGCATATAATTCCACATTTGATATCACAGATACGTAGCGATACTTTTTAAAGGCTGAAAATCTCGATCGTGTATCCTTTTTTTTTTTAAACAAAAAAGAGAGATATATATATTTATATATATTATTATAACATCTTGAATTGAACAGCCTAGTCAAGATTTTCAATATTTGCAAAAGTATATATTATAAATTAAACTCAGTTCCGAACAAGTAATTATTTGTAAGCAAATATATTATAAGGATTATAAAGTAATCTTAAATATTATAAGGATTTTAAAGTAATCTTAAATATATACCGTGAACCTTTAAAAAAAATGTGCAAATTATTGAGGTGCATATATTCACGTGATATTCGCATAAGCTTTATAAATTCCTTTTGATATCACGATCAAAGTCTATCTATATTCGGGCATGTAATAAATATTATAAAAATATAGTTGTTATGCATTACGTAAAAATATTCCTTTTTTCATTAAAATTTTAATTCTCTTAGTAGGTAAGTATGTACATAACATACTTAGCAAAAAAAAAAAAAAAACAATAGTTTCTCATAAAAATCTTTTTTTTTCGGATAAATCGTGTCATATGTTTTTGCGTGTTACTATTGATCAGTTCAATTATAGTAATTGGTTTGTAAATGAATTTTTACTAATTCAAGAAAATGATATTAATAATTAATCCAAATTCGTATTGATTTGTTTTTATCGAAGGTTAGAAGCTTATTCAAATTTTAAACCTGCTTTATAACTTGTTATATTTTAAAAACTCTATCACTATCGCTATACATAATATAAAGAATTAACGAATGGAGGATTGTTAATAATATTAAGTGAGTAATCATTGTTTTTATTAATATTTGTTCTACTAAATGTGTTGTGCAATGTATATACGTAGTACGTACGTGAATTACCTACTAAATTATTTCAGTATTTAGTAAAAAGATTAAGATAACTACATATTACATATGTACAAATGAGAATTGAACAGTTAAGAAAATAATAATCTATAAAGAATTTAGTACGTATAATCAGTTTGAGAATATGTATTCGAATGAGTATGTATTTCGATTTTAGAAGAATGAGTGTGTATTTCGACTTTGGATCCACCCCAATCTTCTTGATGAATTAGGAAACCTAATCACCTGAGTGAATTAGGAAGCCTAGCCTCCTGAACGAATTAGGAAGTCAAATTCTTGAATGAATTCTTGAATTGATTGGGGAAATCAAAGAGTAAATCGTTCTAAATGAGATTTGAACATAAAGTTTGTGCATATAAAGTCAAATTTGACAATAAGCTTGAATATTTATGCCAATTTTTTAAGGTTTTATTTAATGAGTCAGAAAAAGGAGATTAATTCATTCGGAGAATATACCAAATTAGAGGGATGTAGACTCTTATTTAATATTTTATTTAACTTTAGATTAGAGTTAGTTAGGTATGTTTATACTGTATAAGTAGAATTGCCTTCCCGGCAACACACAAGGTAAGCAAGGTAAGATCCTGATTACTAACTTATCAACAGTAGTCAAAAACGTCTAAGTTTCTGATGTAAATATACTTCGATGTTGATTCAAATTCTACATTTAATTTTATATTGATTCAAATTCTACATTTAATTTTATATTAATTCAAATTCTACATTTAATTTGATATTGATTCAAATTTTACATTTAATTTGATGTTGATTCAAATTGTATATTAATTTTATATTGGACGCAGAGAAAACAAGTTTTATATTCCAAGTAAATTTGTTCGTAAGATCATGAAACACTCGAATCTCTTTTTTTATCAAGAACTCATGTTTTCAAGATGACATGTTTTTCGATTTTTTTTTTTTTTTAAATATACAAGTTTGATGATTAATTTGATCAAAAAGAAATATATATATCTTTACGCGTCTAAATAAAATTGTTCAGATAGTTCATAAATATTTTAATTATAAACAATAATATATAGTTAAAATATTTGTATAATATTTGTATAATAATTATTAATAATATTATTAATAATGCTAGTTAAATGTTTGTATAGTAATAATAATAAAAAATAATAATAATAATATTTTTATACAAAAAATAAAAAGAAATTAATATTAAAAAAAAATATTTGATTCTTTCTATGAAAATTTTCTATGTAGAATTATTTTATTACCATACAAGATGTGATCTACATTGTCCAAATTTTGTATAATCTTTGACCGTAATTACAGTAGATGGTAAAGAATTTCTAAATACATGCAAATTCACACTATTCAATTTATATTCATCAAAATTATCATCAAAATTTGTTAAATATTGATTATTTGAAGAAGAAGAAGAAGAAGAGGAAAGATTTAAAAGATCTGATCCACGAAATTCCAAAGTTTCTAATCGATGACATGACATAAGAACTCTAACTAAATCCATAGGTATATAAGTAATTTCCGAAAATTCAAACCATCTTAAAGATTTTGCTTGAGTACTTAAAGCCGCACAAAATTCTTCTGATTCCTCTGATGTACACCAAAATTCATTCGTCTTCAAGACTTGTAATTTATTTTGTGCTTTTATTAATAGAAATATTTGATCTATTGGTGGCGCACAGCGCCTATTAATAGATATTTTAAGATCTATTAAATTAGTTGCACATTTGGAAAGAGTGGAAAATATAGAACTTAAAGTTGGTGTAGTGTCTTTGAAAAATGAAATAGTTGGATAATAGATAAATTCAAATGATGAAAGTTGTGAGAGAGCATTATGAGTATTTGAAAATGATGATAAATTTAATGAATCTATTGAAAAATCTTTCATATGAGTGAAATTTAAACTTTTTAAACCAATAGTTCGTTTAAAAGCTAGATTTGCCAAGTATGCAGTAATGTTGAACCAACAACTATTACCATGTGAAAATAACTTTGCCCAATGTTGAACTGCATAATCGAACATTGCAGCATCCATACTTTTCAAATACCTTGTATAATCGAAAAATGGTTTATTATAATTTAAAGGTAGATCGAAACCTTCATCTATGAGTAGTTGCCTTTCCAACTCTGAAAAACAACTTACATAAGTTGTTATTATAAGTGCTGAATTTCTTTCTATAGTATTTAATTTGTTTTGAGAAACTAGGTTAAACGGACGACTCCAAAGAATTGGAACAGCCAGACGGCACCACATTCGATTTACCAGCACACATGAATATAATGTTGCTTTATCATCTTGAAGATGGTTCAATATTACAGCAAAACAGTCAGGAGTCATTGTAGTTGAAATGTATTGAGACGTTGATGATAATGATGTTGATTGAGAAGGAAGGGGTTTATATAATGAAGTTTTGCGAGAATGAAGACTGTGAAGGGGTTTGTACAATGATGTCACTTTTTGCTGAGTCATTTTTTTTAAGCTAAATATTCGGTGTGAATTATCGTTATTAAAAAAATTATTTAAAAAAGCAAGTATTAAAAAGGATTAAATGGTATTAAAAAGGATTAGAAGGTATTAAAAAGATTATACAAAAAGATTATACAAAAGGATTATATATAAAATGATTATATAAAAAGGTTATATAAAAAATTTATATAAAAAGGTTATATAAAAAGATTATATAAAAAGATTATTAAAGAAAAAAAAAAAATCCAGAGAAAAATCCAGAGAAAATCCAGAGGAAAAAAAAAAAAAATAAGCCTGAAAATTTTCAAATAATGGATTCTGGTTTAATTTATATTGTTTTGTTTCTTCGAATAATGTTTATTCGATAATGTTTATTCAAGCTTTAATGCAAGTATTTTTAACCTGTTATTTATACTATAGGTTGATTAGTTAATACAATATATTTTGTACATATCTGTTTACATTATATCTGTTTAGAGTAATAAAAAAATATTAAAATCAAGTAATGTTCTACGTATAAGTATAAATCGTTAGATACACATACATTTATTAGACGAAAATAATCTGCAAATTCTGTTACTAAATTTTGAAGGTTTGGATTCACAGATGCGCAAGGTATGTTTAGTTGCTAATATAGTTGCATTATGCAATGTTTTATGCAATGTTCAGAAACACATTCCAGTCAACATAAGGTACAGTACGTAACAATCAAAATAGTATAAATGAGCACCTTTTAATTATATATAAAGTACTTACGTATATGCGTTATGTACATTATGTACGTATTCGATTTCATTTTATTTTTTATTCGATATCGATATTCGATTTCAACCTATTTACTTATCTGTTATGTATGTGTATGTACGTATGTATTTAAATATTTATCACTTATGCATGTTCAGTCATTACCGGTCATATTATACTGACTCGGGTCATTTTTTGATCATTTGTCTTTAACAACCAACAATTATTCCGTTTTGTGTTTCGTTAAATCCATGTGGACGGATTCCTTTATGCAAACTATCATGTTATACAAAGACATCCATTTTAGTCCATTTATAAAACCCTATTGTATAAATTCCATAAAAAGTAAGCAATTATTTTTCGTCAGACAAATCTGATGACTTCTGATAATTCTCTATTTATATAAGGTTTTTTATACAAAGAAAGAATATTTTTGATTTCGGAATCTATACTACTTAAAAATCTAATTAAAATCATTTAAGACCATTTAAGTTAGTAATGACGGAGTTGGTCAACAGACAATGGCAGTAAGGGTTTAACATATATATTTAGTAATATATTATTTTCATCACTTCTCATCACATGTTGATGATTTTAATGATAATAAATACGTACATATACATACGTATATGTACTATGAGTAAATTCACACGTTGATGCTGTGAAGAAAATATGAAGTATGGATAAAGTTCGAGGCCTTTATTATTTTAATGTTTATCACGGTTCCTAAATTCGACCCATTTCATATCCAAACCGAGTATTATTTTTTAAGATATAAAAATAGATTAAAAGCAGTCGATCATTGTAATCTAAATTATGGTTTCATGTTAACGTTAATAGTAATATTGTTTACGGAGATAGTTTATTTCTTTTTTGTAGGTGATATTTTTGTAGTTTGTACTTGAATAAGATATTCCGTATACTGTTAGATTGATTATTTCTATGGCCTGGTAACTGAATTTATTCTTAATAAAATTCATCAAAATAAATTAATCGAAATAATAAATTAATCAAAATAAATTAATCGAAATAAAATTATCGAAATTTTGAATGTATAATTAATTTTAATACAATAATTTTAATACAACAATTTTAATATAATGCATGTTATTTATACGAGCATTTATTCTTATCCTTACAGGTTAAATAATAGCACTGAATTCAACTCAATTTTCTTTGTTCGTTTTCTTTTCATTTCTTGCATTTATAATTATATAAGGATCTGATCTAATTCCAGTCTTCCGATCAGTTGGTCAGTGAAAATTTACTAAAATAATCTACACTCTGCATTAAATGAAAAATTAAGTTTCAGCCGCAGTCTAAATTAAGCAAAGTACATTAGAAAAACAAGAACCTTTTTCTCTTTTTTTCTATCTTTTTATCCTTTATACTATATGTATTCTAATTTAAATGTTTTCATCGTTACTTTTCTTTTTAAATTATTCTATCTTTATATTAATAGATTTCTAACTTGATCGTTTTCTTTCTCTTATCTTTAAAACTTGTACATATATGATTCATATCATTTACTTATTATGGAATCCTATTGAGGTACAAATACAAATACTTATACCTCGTATCTCGTAAACAAATAAATGCCGGTTGAATCCGAATTTGTAACCACAATTGCGATTAATCTGGCGGAAATGATCGATTAAATTCCAGGAAAGTATATAATGTATGTACGTTACGTAAGTAACTATCACTATTATTGCAAAATTGCAATATTGAAAGGTTTGTTATACGTATAAGTCTGCCTTGTTCTAAACACTGACCTTTGGCATGAACATTAAGCACCCGTGTCAAGTCTCTAGTTCTCTAGTTAAAGACATGTGCAATATCGGGTCTTACTAAATTTGGTAATGGTTTCGGATAACCTGTGCCCTGTCAAGTTTAACGCTAATTACTATTAAGAAATAGATGATCATTCAAATATCAATATCAATATCTATATCAAAGCCATATTATCGGTTAAACCTTTTTAACGATAATGAAAAATCAGGACTAATCACGTACTTACTTACGTACATTTATCAAATATAGTATGTTCATAGTTTTTTTTTTTTTAAAAAAAAAAATAAACCATAACGATAATGGTCAACAAATTTATTTACGACCAACTTACGTACGTATGTTTATCTCAAGCATAATAAAATTGGTGAGTGATCACATTTGCATGATGATAAACCAATTAGTTTTTGTTGATTACCACTTACTGGTTATGTTTCACCGAGAATTTACTATTATCTTGGCGTACTTTTTCACTTAAAGTATATGTAAGTAACGTACTTACGTACTTACATACTTATTAGTTCTTTTGCCTTCAAGTGATCAAATATTTTTTTTTAAAAAAAAAATAAAATGGATCACAAATCAAATTAATAAGAATATTAATTTTTAAAAATAACTTTCAAAATAACAAAGAGAGTCGTTGAATTAAGATATATGCAGGTAAAAACTTATGATTCAAAGATACAAAATAATACAAAATAATACAAAATACCCCATGTGTATTGTACAGGTATATTGTACTATGGTCGATCTACTGTATATCATAAAAAAGAAATGTTAAAATGCATACACTCCTGGAATTTATTTGATTCCCGTGATCTGTTAGTTATTATCATAACTAACCTACAAGAATTTTTATTGTTTACTATCTCAAAAAATGTCTAGTTTCAAAATATTTATGAGGGGTGAGAAAAAAACTTATAATAGAAATTCTATTGTTCTAACCTTCTAATAGTTTAGCCAAGTTTAATAACTGGCGTAAAAAAAAAAAATAAACAAAAAAAAAAGGAGAAAGATTATGAAAAGTATGGAAAGTGAAAACAAGATTTATTATTTTCATAGAAATTTTATAATCTTGCTTTAAAAACTCAAGTATATTCGAATATTTCATGTCATCTGGTAAACTCCTTCCGAAAACCTGATCACAACATGGTTACCTTTTTATGATCAATCACTTTCATTTTTAACTGGCTAATACTGTAATATAGGTTTACATTGTTGCCTACACGTATTACTTATACACATATATTCGTATTACTGTATCGTGTATACTATATTGAACTATACAATTGTGTTAATTTAACAGATATGGAATGTTTTTTTGTGCAGCTTAGCGAATTCTACAAAATAAAAAAAAAGGTTTATTTGAATTGGATTACTGGATGGTTAGAATTTTTACTTTTTATTCATAAAATCTACATAGTTTCGTAAGGTCACATATATTTGATTTAATTAATTAATTATACATTGTATATAATAGGGATTGGAACCGTTTAACCGTTTAAAAATTGCTCCATAGTTCCGGGCAGAATTATGTTGGTCGCGGGCCGGAATTATTTTAGTGCCGTCCAAATTAAACGGTTAAACGGTTAAACAGTTAAACGATTAAGAAAAGTTTTAGGTGGTTCCAATTCCTAATATATAATTAGTTAAAATAGATTACTAAAGTCATGCAAAATTAATTAATTTTCATAACCCGGCCAGGTCAAAATTTGAAAACTTGTAAAAAAAAAAAATTTATGTCCTAATAACTGAATGGGTTTTTTATAAAAGTTTTATATATGAAAGTTTTTAAAAAAACTGCCTAGCAGGTCTGTTTAAAAGTTCAACGTTATGACAATCAAATATATTAAAATTTTTTTTTAATGTTAAGGTGAGTACTTGCGACCCAGGATTTTATTGATAGTATGTTTCGGCTAATTAGGGTTCGGAATGAGTGGGTCGGGCCGGGTACAGGTAGGCCCAAAATCTAGCCCAATAAAAATTTTGGAGTATGGGGCGTACCGGGCTTACTCTAAAACCCAGCCCGATCTAGCCCAATAAAATTTAGAGTATGGGCCGGATTAATTTACTTCAAAGCTTGGCCCAGCCAGGCCCATACTTATTGAGACGATGTCATGTTAGGGTATGCGATATTATATAATTAACAAATCTAGCAACTAAATTTTTTGATAAAAAATAGTATGTTAAGAAAATCCAATTATATCATCCTAATGTCATGTTCAAATTTCTTTAGTTATTATAGCATTTAACCAGCTGAAATTAGTCTTTCATAGTTTCCAAAATTACAGCTGTTATCTCTGGAACACCTGATAATTTTACTCATTACTCGAATGTTCTCAGTTTCATCCAGTAAATTGCTTAATCTTTCGGAAACTATATCACTGTCTTTGGATCCTTAGCCTGAAGACAATGACATAGTTTCCGAGAGGTTAGGTAATTTACCGGATGAAACTGGAACATTCAAG